TGAAAGTGCGCCATATTGAAGCATTTTAGTTTTGATCGGATATAATTCCATAGTTATTTGTTGTAACAGGTCTTTTCATAAGGTTTTGTAGACAATTGCACGAGCTATCTTTTGAAAAATAAAACTCGAGTACCTACGTCACAAGTTGAGAAAGATATTCCAAAAACACTGTGGGTGACATTTATTCTGGCCCACCCGTTATTTTCTTATACAAAATTTTTAAAAAATTGTGAAAAAAACTCTCTTGTTATTATTCGTTGTTTCTTTTTTAAATTTATACTTGAGTAAACTGTTACAAAATAACTATGGAATTATATCCGATCAAAACTAAAATGCTTCAATATGGCGCACTTTCATTTGCGCTTTTTTTTAGAAAATTAATTCTTTCATTTCTTCTAGAAAATCAGATACGAAACCTGACTCTAATGAAAGGTTTCTGTGTTTTCGGATGAACTCTTTCTAACACTGCTTAAAAGAAGATATTCAGATACGACTGTGAGGTTTCAGCGGTCAATTTTCTACAAAAAAAATGCGTTGAAATCATTTATTGTTCTTGTCATGCACCTGAAGCATTGCAGAAAAACATTTTACAACATTCTGCTTGTAGCGATTTGTAGAGAAAACGTTTCCCTTCAACTTAGTAATAAATTTGAATATGCTATAATTTTCAATTTATGATAGTAAAATTCAAATTACGATGAACCTTAATGGAGAATGCTCAGATCGTGAACACAGGAGAACCAAGAAAAGATTTTGTTCGAGTAGATGTAGAATATGTCAGAAAAGGTATTCTCAGGATCAATAAAGCTTTTCATGAGCTACAAAATAGCCTTTACAGCCTCTTTACAGGGTGTGGGTGTAGGTGCAACTCTTCCCTTCATTCACATCCACATTCGCACTTGTGCAGATAATTGATCATTGATGGCAAAATTGAAAGAAGATTATCAAATTGAGCAGTTCGACTATGAATTGGTTTCCATTATTCATTGAAACTGTCATTCATATATCACAATCTGATTTAATCAAAAAATATTTATTATGCAAATGTGAACTCGACTGTATCAATAATGAATTAGAACAAAAATCAATGGAAGACTTTCGTCAATATTACAAAGCAATCGAGGTTATATCATGGCATACACGTAATTGTTTTATTCTTCGCCTATTAAATGGAGCATTGTGTTCAGAAGACATTATTACACGAATTTAAATTTAGATTATTATTTTAGCTGATATACATCATCAATTAGAAAAACTTCATTTGAATTATATTAATCTATTACCAATTGAGCAAAAACAATGGACTCTTTATTGTGAACAAGGTGTTAGCAGTGAAGAAATGAACAAAACCAGAATCAATGTTAATAGTTTAATTTAAATAAATACCTACTTTGTAACAACAATCAATTATGAAACAGCTATCACATCTGTTAAAACTGGTGACCAAAATTCATTCGTTGAATCGATCGGTTATAAAATCAACCAAACTGTTTGGATGCGATTAAAGAAGACGAAGATGAAAACGAAATTCTCCCCTCACGGGGTAGGACTTTTCAAAATTAATCTATTGAACAACAGGATACAGTATAGCGTGTTAAATTAAGATTAATGAATGAAAAACAAACCAAAGAAATGAATCAAATGACCGAATTATTAAAAAGGTAATAATGATCATGCATCACCGCTAACATTCGTAAGTTATGTTTTGTGGACAATCAGCAAATATGATAAGGCTGAACTTATTTTTACTATTCTATTTGAAGAATTACATTCGTTCGATCACAATGAAGTTTCTGGTATCTATAACGATATTGGACTTTTATAGAATGATCATGGTTATTATAACTAAACATTAGATTACTTTGACAAATCACTTAAATATATGCGAGGAAAAATCATTAACTCAAAATTGCTTACATCGATACAATATTAAACAATATTGAATTGATTTTTTCCAATAAAAAAGAAAAATATGAAACGGCATTAAAATATTATAGAGAAATATTACAAATGCAACTGGACATTGACGAACTGAGACTAACAGATTTTGTTGATATTGCCACAAGCTATACCAATATTGGATTTGTATACGCAAATATGCACTTATTTTCACAGTCATTAATTAATCTTGAAAAAGCTTTAGATATTCTACTTAAACAATTACCAGTCAATCATCCAGATATTGAACATATTTATTTTCTTCGAGGTCATATCAAAAGAGCATTTGAAAGCATATCCTACGACACTTGATAGCAATCTTGCATCACTTGCTACTAATCATCCAGGTCCATTAAAAAAATATATATATCAACATTGGTGCAGCTGATTTTGGTGAACAAAAAAAATATTTATTAACTATAGAATATTATGAGAAAGCAATTGAAATCGGTGCTACATTATTGCCAAATGATTATCCAACTTTTGTACCAATATTTCAAAGCATTACATGTGTCTATAAATCAATGAAAAACCATTCTATGGCACACAAATATTTTCGAAAAGCTTTAAAAAGTCAATAAGAGCCGTTCAAAATAAAAACATATATTACTGTTCGAACTCGATATTCATGTCGCAACAGGCTGTGAATCCATTGGTAAGAATTCCATGGCTATCGATGATGAT